AAGTATAATCTATGGAATATGTACCCGCTCATTAATAAGCATGGTTAAATGCCTCCCCTCTCTCCGCATTTTCTAGATTAAGTCAAATAGTATTATTACTGGTAGCAATTCTCTTTTTTGAGACACTGTTTCACATTGTTGCCCAGCTGGTGTGCAGTGGTGCAATCACGGCTCACTGTAGCCTCCACTTCCCAGGATCAAACAATCCTCCCACCTCAGCACCCCAAGTAGCTAGGACCACAGGGGTGTGCCACCATACCAACTAATTTTTGTTTTTGTTTTTTTGTAGAGACAGTGTTTCACCATGTTGCCCAGGATGGTCTCAGATTCCTGAGCTCAAGCTATCTGCACACCTCAGCCTCCCAAAGTGCTGGGATTACAGATATGAGCCACCACACCTGACCTGGTAGCACTTCTTGCTCCTTCCTTCTTCCCTTCCTCTACTCCTCCCTCCCTCTTTACTTTCCTTTTTCATTTTCTTTCATTTCCTCATTTCCCTTTCTCTTTCATTTCCTCCCTTCCTTTCCAGAGAGGCTGTTGCCCCAGCTAGAGTACAACAGTGTGTGCAGCCTCAAATTCCTGGGCTCAGGCAGTCCTTCCACCTCGGCCTCCAGAGTAGCTAGGACCACAAGTGAGCCACCAACCATGACTGGGCTAATTTTTTTTTACAGTAGAGATGGGAACTTGCTATGTTACCTAGTCTAGTCTTAAATTCCTGGCCTTAGGTGATCTTCCTGCCTCAGCCTCCCAAAGTGTTGAGATTACATCTTTCTTTATACCAAAAAAAAGAAAAAAAAAAATGTAGTCAAGCTGCATTGGCAGCAGCAAAACTTACCTCCTAAGGCACACACACAGTCTATAATTAGAAAATGGAAAAGTAAGGCTGGGCGTGATGGCTCACACTTGTAATCCAAGTACTTTGGAGGCCAAGGCGGGCAGATCACCTGAGGTCAGGAGTTCAAGACCAGCCTGACCAACATGGTGAAACCCCGTCTTTATATTAAAAAAAAAAAAAGAAGAAAAGAAAATGAAATAGTAAAATAAATTGTTAAGATACAATTATATTTATTCAACTGAACATTAAGGGGGGAATCATTCTGTGTCTTTTTTTTTTTTTTTTTTTTTTTTGAGACAGTCTCGCTCTCTCGCTCAGGCTGGAGTGCAGTGGTGCTGTCTCAGCTCACTGCAACCTCCACCTCCCAGTTTCAAGTGATTCTCCTGCCTCAGGCTCCTGAGTAGCTTGGACTATAGGCATGCACCATGTCTGGCTAATTTTTCCATTGTTAGTTGAGACAGGGGTTTCACCATATTGGCCAGGCTGGTCTCAAATTCCTGACCTTGTGATCTGCTTGCCTCGGCCTCCCAAAGTGCTGGGATTACAGGAGTGAGCCACTATGCCTGGCCAACACATTTTTATATAACTGAAAAATATACCTATTGTGAGCCCAGAAGAACTTCTGTACCTCAATATCTTGTTAAACTAGTAAGTTCCACTCAATTCATTACTGCTATACACAGATTTCAGTTAGGGAACTAATGATATTGTGGTATAACATTCATAGTGTTTCTCTTTGGCAGGTTATTGACCTCTTGTAGCCTACTTTGATATGGGTTTGAATAAATGATTCATCATCACTAATTTCTGCTGTCAGATTTACTAGTCACCTAGGTCTGACTTGAATGGAAATGAGAAAGTAAAAGTGAAGTGGTCTGAGAATGACAGCCTCTCTTGAAGGGTGGGTGAAGGTTCAGTGACCTTTGGGCATACTGCTCTATTCTGGTGGAATCACTGCTTTGGGGAGGCAATAGAACCTGTGGCTCATAAAACCTGATGCCATTAAGAAGAGAGAATTCACAAATAGATGTCAGGGTCACTGCTGCTTTAAAAACTCAAGTGTAGAAAAAAATACCATATTTTAAGATGAATTACTAATTTTCTTTCTTTTAAAAGTATGGAGGAAACCTATACCATACAGATGTTCATTACTTATTCAATGTACACTACTGCGAGATAAATAGAACTGTTAGAATACAAAAATGCCAAGGGTAATTCAACTACTGCAGTGTAAGTGTGGTATAACTGATTCGTCATGACATACAATTTTCTAAAAGCTATTCTGTTAGAAGGCAATAAATGAGTGCATAAATGATTTATACTCTTCTGAACCACAGTTATTATTCAGTGTTTTATTTTAAAGAATATATATACCCTCTACTATTATGTTTATTCTCTGGAGTATAATAAAAACATAATTGAATTTGATGAAAAATAGACTTGATTCTAAATGTAGCATACAGCAAATACAGCTACTTCCTTATTTTGTCCCTTGTGAAGATCAATGGTCACTTGAGGTAGTTCTGCTCTAGGTTCGTTTTAATATATGGGCAATAAAATGTTTTTAATTTAAAAATTATATCCTATGTTCCATACTATATTTTCTTTTTAATACTAGCATATGAGTTTTGACCTAATAACTACTTTTGAATGCAAATACAATGTTTTAATCACTGTTTTACTTTTAAAAATGATTTCTTATTGACTAGGTAAGGCAAAAAATTAAGTATAAGTGGTTTAGTAAATAAAAATTAGCAATTCAGAACAAAAGCATCAGAGTTCAGTAACCTGTTTTATTTTGATGGCACCTAAATGCCATTGTGAAGGAAAAGGTTTACCTTTTAAAAAATAATTCAATTTTTAAAAATATAACCATCTCTGAAATTTAGGTAAATGTCTTGTTCATCTATTTAAGAAAATATTATTTTTATTTGTAAGTTCATTTGAGTTGGAAATTGTGCCATAAAATATATAAATATATAACATTAAAGTTAACTATGTGTTATATAATTTGTTATATTATATTATGTTATATATAACTTTTATGTTTTATAACTATTATGTTATATAGTTATAAAACATAAAAGTTACAAAATTAACCTAAAAATTAATTAGTTATTTTATATTTATATGAAATATCAACTATACACTCTGAGTTTGGTTAAGTCTACTTCTAAAATACGTATGTAATATGTATATGCATAGGTATAGTATAAAGAGAAAATAAAAATTAAAAGTAAGAAGGTTAATTTTCCCTTTTGAAAATAAGGGAAAAGATCTCCCTCCTTTCCTTTTTTCTTAGAGCATTTACCTTAGAAAGTTTGTAACTGTAGGCAAGGTGCAGTGGCTCATGCCTGTAATCCCAGCACTTTGGGAGTCCAAGGCAGGTGGATCACTTGAAGTCAGGAGTTTGAGACCAGCCTGGCCAACATGGTGAAACCCCAGGTCTAATAAAAACACAAAAATTAGCTGGGTGTGGTGGCAGGCACCTGTAATTCCAGCTACTTGAGAGGCTGAAGCATGAGAATTCCTTGAACCAGGGAGGTGGAGGTTCCAGTAAGCTGAAATTGTGCCACTGCATTCCAGCCTGGGACACAGTGAGACTCTGACAATCAATCAATCAATCAATCAAGCCTGTAATCATAAGTACTTTTTCATCTTTTGCCACATATCTATTCCCTGGAAGATGAAATATGCCTTTTACCAGCAGTCCTTTTGTCAGCTTTGTGACCTAGGAATGCCCTTCTCAAGAACCAGGGAGCTATCTTTTCAAAATGCAAGCATCAAGGGAGCTAGCTCCCCAGTCTCCCAGTTCCTGTGAGAGAGTAAAAGCCTAACTTCAGTGGTTGTCTGTTCCAATTTATAAAACTACCTCCCATCATAAAGATACAAAAAAGTTTGTTTCTCCTTAGGATAAAGCCAATTAGCTAACATGGGTGGTTTTCCCAAAAGTTATGATGAACTATGTGTGACAAAATGTGCTATCCAGTCTTCCTACCTGAGGAGCAGTGACTGTTTATCTTGATAGCATGTAATGTAATGGAGTGTATCTGCTTTGCTATTTAAAGGGGTGAGATTCCCTTCCATTCTTACAATCTCTGCATGAA